CCATAATCACCCCACTTTCGATGCTGACGTGGCCATTTGGCGCCCAAGCCTAAACAATCCCTCTCTTCTCATCCTCCTTCCCTTCTCCTATGACTTTTTTAATTGTCCATCCCTCCCACCATAACTATTTCTTTTTTATTGACGATTCTATTTCTGTAAATATTCCACCCAGCATGTCAATCTTGCCAACTGGCACAGGCTAGCACAGCCGTCAGTGACAAGTCGGCAGCACGAACACACAGTTATTGATTTTCTACACGTTCAAAATTTTAGTTATTGTACACACGTCCCAAGTAGCTGCCCCATTTGTTTCTGTTTCTCCACCTCTGACGATGGGCTCTTGAAAGAGCTTGAAAGCTCAGGAAAAAATAAACTTCGTTCCAGTGATCGACCATTTGTCTCCTTCACCAATAGACATACCTGGAATGCGAATATTCTCTCTCATTCGTGATTGCTTTTCTTTCATTTATTCTAATTGGAAATGTTGTTGCTTAATATCTTAAGGCTTTCCCATGCTGTTTTTTCGAAAAAATAAATGTGGAAACACGCAAGTTTCAAATTGGATGAAATTCAGCCAAAGCACCCATTACAAACCTAATAACTTCTTACCGTTCCTACAACTTAAGTGTTTAGGTAGTGCTTTCTTGGGAGGCCTCCTTCGTCTTTGACTCATAATTAAAGCCACAAAGCAAAAAAAGAGAAAACCGATGGAAGGTTTGTGCTACTGAAAATTTTAAAGTGTTTTTAGTATTTTTGATGATCTTTCTATTGTTTTCAATGATAATTATGTAGTTTTATCACAGACGAAAGCGGCTTCGTCAGGGAGCCCTACATAAAACAGTAAACAAAAGAGTAACAATAAGCAAACTGCAAACTGAAGACAAACAGAGAATAAGAAGCAAAACAAGAGCAATCTACAATAATACAATAAAAAAGCCAACACTGAAAACAAACAAGGGGCAAACAACCATAATTATACCATAATATACTAATAAACAATGGCCAAGACGAAGTAGCCAATCAGCGAACAGCACGCTTCCGTGAACGGTTTGGTATTCTTAGAACTTTTCCTCTTCGGCTTATTGAACTGAGCGACCTCTTTAACATCACTTTCGAGTGCAGCGTCTTGCAGTGAGTAATTTCATCGGCCAGTGGTGAGCAACAGGGCATCCATACACCCCTGTTTGATACGGAATGCAAATTCCGTTAAAATTACTTGAGACACTAAAATCCCATTTGTAATCCTGCCTAATACCCCCGTTCTCGGCTGCATTATTTCATCCTAATTAAGCCCATTATTTCAAACCCCTTTAACTCTAAATATTAACCAGGAGTTTTGATTGCTTGCTTTGTCCACACTTCATACTGAACCTGATAATATATGTGAAAAGACATTTAATATAAAAATAATTATTAAAAGTTAACCTCTCAATCAGGCTTTTGCTTATAGATTCCTTTTCCGTTACACATCCTCAGTTTTTATCACCATTTAAATGTGATTATATGGACTTTACTCCTAACGCGATAACTATTGATGAATTAATAAGTCAAGAATACGCAGCTGAAGGGATAGAAGTCTTTACTTTGTTCAGGATGTGTCCTTGTCAGTTTCCAGAACAAACCTGGAATCCACCAGAATTTGTAAAAGGCAAAATTTCGCTCTTGATACCAAAATTTCCAATAATACAGAGTGATGGCTGCGCCGTCAATGAAACCTGATCGTTGCTTCCCAACTCCTCAAGTAAAACAAGACAAATCAGTTAACTTGATTATTCTCTCAGATGCGCGCGGAGTTTGCGTCGGTGTGTAGAAATTGGCCCATGAGAATGTTCTGCAATCTTTCGTGCCGTCGCTTAACTTACGTTCGTAAAATTACGTATATTTGCATTTATTCGACCTGTGTTTAAAAATTCAAACAAGGGACTATACTCGTTCTACTAAACGGACCTTTTGTAGGACAATGACGGACTTAAAAAGACATGGCACTCGGTAATTTGTCTTTAATCTTACAG